GACTTTGGGGGCCACAACCTGGGCTGCGTTTGAGTAAGACGGAGTTACCTGTGAAAATCGTAGGATTGCATGAGTTTGGCCACCTACTGTAAGTCGAATTCCCGTTTTTGCGGTTAAAGTAAACCGCAAAGTAACTTTGAATATAATTTTTGTTAAACTATTGACCAGAGGTTTCCTTTACGTTTATTTATTATCCCGAGATTAGCTCGATATAGCAAGTGTATTGGAAGCTTCCCGGTTGAAACAAAGTGCTTACCTTTGAAGTAAAACAAATAAGGGCTGACCGAATGAGGGCAGATCACTCTTTTATGAAGTGGAAACTTTACAACGTGGTATGCCCAATTATCCTATTAAACAGATGTTAACTTCTGCTCGCAGACGAAAACTCTGGACCTTCGGTTGCCCGTCGCCTGGACAGCGGTCAATTTGGCAGCTGTCGTAGCGCAAATACATGCTTCTTACTGCTTGCCGAACTTTCGTGAAGAGGTGCATAGTGGAGAACCAGCTGAAGATGCTCAAGGTAATATTTTTTTGGGTTCCACCTGTTTGAATTTTGTAATGTGACCATCATCATTTTTGGGAAGGATTAATATTTACAGTTTTTGAGTAGGTTTTATATGTTTGGTGACCTCTCCCAAAGTTGGGTTTAGTTCAAAAGGAAGCCGTCACGTTCGTCCCAGCATTCGATACTTGTCACACTTAACTGAAACGGACAATCCAAACAGCTTATTCTAACTTCTTCCTTATCAAAAACAACATTTGTCGTCTTCTACGAATTTAGGATTTTTTGCCTTAAAGTACCCTGACATTTGTAGAATCTTGGAAACTACTAAAACAGTTCTCGTTCGACATTTTTTCTCATTGCTTATGTCGTTGTTGATAATCTGACCAGCTCTTACTGCAGGAAGACTAAAAGGGTTTTTCAAATCTACAGGAAAGGTCAGAGGACGAAGTCAGCGAATGGTGGATGTATTTAGACGGCCACACAGATCCGCTGATGCACCGCTTTCACACCGGCTGCGTATTCGGACACTATCTGGCTATGACGCCTGTCTGGCCTATCAGCAAGGATCGGACGGGATGACCTCGAGCAATGATGATTCGACGCCAGTCTTCAAGCCTACCCACAGTTCTCACCGCTCGCTAGCGAAGGACTTCCTGCAGGATCTGTTAGAGAGACAAGGCATGAAGACATGTAGTAACCAACAACTCACTGGCCCATACAACCGTATCGTACAGCTGAGAAGCAGCAGATTTTTCAAAGTGGCAAGTCTTCAGTTAATGCTGGATTATCAGGAATGTTTAATTATCAAAGGTAGACTCCGTCCTTAGCGTTGTTAGATGAGTACATAAGATGTAAAAGTAAACGATTTCTAATGGTTCGCTATTTGAAGTATGATTATAGGAAGATCATTTGCAGCCTTCCTACTTCTAATGAAATTTGATTTTGCCATCACAAATAAAATTATTGAATAAAAAGCCATGGAAGATCACATCTATCTGACATACTGTCACACAAATTTTCCATTTCCTAGTATTTTTCTTTTGTTATGCTTTTAGTATTGAAAAGTGATGCAGCTTAACTTGAAGTCCATAAATGCAAGGCCATCTTTTTTGCTTGGGTTCTGTGCGTAGTTTGTCAGGGTGGCGTTCCGAAAAAATGGATTGTTATGGGACATCCACAATTACACGTTTGAAATTTTTTGAGAGAAGTGGATCTACAACCTTGTATATGCCGCATAGTAGTTTTATATTGAGCAAATTATTAAAAACCCGAAGCTATGCTAGAGGATTCTAAAGTGAGAAACGTAGGCAAATCCCTGTTCCTATATAATTTAATTGTTCAGAACATTTCAAGGTTAAGGGACACTATATTTTAATTTTTTCATTACGCCTTATTGCTGAAGTTAGATATCATACACTGTTTAGTTGGGTTAGTTTAAAATGCAAAAATATGACCACAGGCTGTCGAAAATAATAACCTTCGGCTTGGTTTAATCTAGATGTCGATAAACGTGTGAACATTATGGCGATATTTTTTTCTATTTTTTAGTCTGAATTTCTCCTTTTAGACTTCTTCTATCTCCTTCGACACTATTGCAAGCACTATAGCTGCCGTTTACAGACAGGAAACTCCAGCACCCAATCATTTCGACTTACCCACAGGCGTTCAATCTCCCAGAGAAAGAAATACTTCCGTCTGCTCACCCTCCACCTCCATCACGTCTCGTTCTATCTCACCACAGTCACCGATCACTGCGAGTCCCTGGATCTGCCACATTGAGAATCCTGAGCGCCAGAGTGCACTGAAGAAGATGAAGATCATCACTAGCGTCACCATTGCCCTTTCGCTTGAGGTAATCACTCCGGAGCAACTGATCTATCTCATGAGAGGGCACACATTAACAGGTGACAAAGGCCTGGGATCTATTCGACTTCTTTCACCCGAGAACGAACTTTTATTTCCTGCCAGTGAACCATCCTGCAGACGGGCGTTGCGGAAGGTGGCTGGTGTATCAGACAGTTCCGCCTCACCTCTTGAACCTTCTACGCAGCAACAGCAGCCGCAGACGGCGACCGAGGCCCTGGTGGTGGACCCACAACCTCCCGCTTGCCTGCGCACTGTGTTGGAGTTCCCCGTAAAGAGCAGGTTTTACGCCTTCAACTGTTCAAGGTAAGGGTTTTGATTAAGAAGTTGCTGCATACACAACAGCATGCTGCCATACGAGCATTTGCAATTACAGTAAAACCTACGGTAATAAATACTAAAGCACCACAGAGGTCATGCTTGTCGTTTGAATGCATCTTTACGATCACGTTTCACTTATTTCGGTGCACAGTCTACCTTGTGCCGTGTTGCCTACACTGCTTGCAGACAAATCAGGTACTGTGATAGGTTAATCTAATGGCTGTATATGGGAAAGTTTCCCTCAGCTATTGTTGAACTTTAATTGTCCTGAGTGCACCTACTTTAGTGTTCCCGTTTTCATTTCTGTAGGCGCCACTTCCTGTGTAATTTTCGATAAAATCTATAGAGTGCAAATAACTCGGTGTTTGAATGTCTTTTTCTTTTTCTTCTTCTTCTTACAAGTAGCCCCCTTTTCCAAAATTGTGGTTGAATTCCGACTGTCTGAAAATGGAGGTTGATCCAACAATGAGCGCTGTAGTCCTTCCGTTTCATACCGTTACCGGGGTCCTTATGAAATCCAACCATGCAATAGTTGGTCTATCTCATGAAATGTCAACCGAAATTCTGAAATGTGATTTTGGATAAAAATTATTACTTAGCTGGGATGGCAAATAAATCTTCAAATAGTTCAATATTTTAGCTTTTGGCATTAGCATTTTTGCAATTTTTTAAGGGCTTGAACTTTTTTTCCAGAATATAATTTCGGATTAATTTTATCAATTCAGGCACCTACTGTATGTTTATCCGCGGAAGCTCACATTTTCACAACCGAAATACCGTTCGGGAGACATTCTTATGTCGGTCAAGATATGCAAAACTGCTGATCTCGCCGTGGTGATCCCAGTATGTTTTAAAATTATAGAAACATTTCATTTTCCTTGATTCCCGACAGAAGTCAAATTCCCTCTATATAACGACTTATATTTTCATAAATGTTGCCAGCAAAGCACACTTATGACTAAAAGGTGATGTATGTATATCTAAATAACTGAGTGGTGCGTTCAACTTAGAAGTTTTCTTAACTCGTGGCACTTGAAGCATCGACAAAGACTCCGTTCATTTAAGTACCCGTGGCTGCTATCGGTTTTATCGTTTTACATGTAGGAGAAGCCCGCTTATGCAAAACCACCGAGTGAATAAAGCGGCACAAATAAAATTACGTTCGAAAATAATCCTTTTGTAAAGTTTTCGGATACATATGCTTACATGCACTGTAATATAAGGCTGTTACCGAACAGCCCAAAGTTCGAGTATGTATTCCAACACGTTTTCACGAAGATTGCTGGCTTTTTCTTTCGCTTATGCATTGCTTGAATTTTGTTGGACTAAAGCAATCGCATTTTCGCTCGATTTGGTCCATTGGGACATCACAGGTGTAAAATATTTCTTAAGCTCACGTACGGGTATGCCGGTCAGTGACTAATAAATTTAAATGAAATTGTCAGATGCAATTGTAAACATACCGTTTTTTGTAAACTAATAGTAATTTTCTTCCGCCATATTCTTTTGTAATTATTGTGGAAAGAGGTTCAGATCTTCCTTGAAATGCTAACTAAGACTTTACGATTTTCACTGGCTTCAGTCGATTGACCATAAATAATTATTATATTCTACGTGCTTA